ATTGATCAATTTCTTACGGCTTACGATTCATCCACTACTGCTACTGTTCATTGTAGACCATGTGTTAATTTTCCTGTCTTAATTAATTTTCCTGTCTTACTTCAGTTTTTTTTTATATACCATGGCCCTAATAAAGTTTCTACATACCTCAATTTATATGTTTTGCGATGAACAGCTCCATCTTTTGTTAAAAGACGTTTTTCATCTTCTGGCACGGGTACATTAAAATCTAGAGAATCTTTTACTTGTTCTGGTAAAATTTCACCGCTTTCTAATTGTGCTTTAAGTTTCATAGCATTTCTAGCAGTTGACCAATCCCACTGTGATCGAGCCTTCTCACTTTCAAAAGATTTTGGCCTATCGATGTCCAGTTTAATGCCTACATGTTCTCCAGCAAATGTACGAGCTAAGAGGACTCGACTTGGTGTATCAGAAGATGTACCACTTGATACTACAGTTCCATCAATAATTGATCCTTCATTATTCCTTTCTATAAATAGATAAACGGAAGTTGTAATTATTTAATTTAAAAGATAGAAAAAGTAGAAAAAATAAAGAACTATCCAAACAAATATGTACTTTCAATAGCAGCTCTCTTTTTATGCGTCACTGGTGTTATCTGATGCTCGTTAAAATCTTCGTTTTTCGCTTTACGACCTCGATGTTCTAAACAGAAATATTTTTATCAATCGTATTATATTAAACCTAAATTTGTAAGAGAAATAATCGACTTTTTTACAAATAAGTTTTGATAAAATGAATTATATTATCTGAAATAAATTAAATAATAATTAAAAAAAGTTTAATAGATTTACGAAAAAGTAGGGACAAACAAAAACAATATTGTCAAAAGTGCAAACATGTGAAAAGTTTTATTAATTAAAAATTATTAGAAGATACATTTACAGATAAAAATTTAGATTTTTGTATGCGAATTAACGATAATTGTTCCAAAAGAACTAATCTTTTCAATTCTTTTGTTGATAAATTCCGAGTTTCATTGGGTTCCTTAAGTCTTGAATATTTTTCACATATTTCTGATGGAGAAGTCTGCGTTTCTTCATCCACCATTAAATGTAGTATTGATGTAAGTCTCTTTACTGTGCTCCTTCCTTTAAATATTAGTCATTATCAGAGTCATCAATTTTAAATTTTACAATAAATTGTGACATTGATAATAATTATATTTCATAATTGTAATAGGACTAATATTTTAACTAAATGCATTGATTGTTAAAAACATATAAAACATATGTATTGAAAGTAAAAGTAATAAAAAAGTCGATTATTTAATGAGACTAATTTATTTGTGTTGAATTTTTAGGAAGTCCCAGAATAATAATTTCTCTAAGAAATATATGCAACAAAACCAATTGATTATACTACCTGTGTTGATCTTACCTGTACTAATTTCAGTTTCATCTGAATCTACATAGCGTTTTGGTTTAATCTTACGTCCACTACGACTAACCAACTCTTTAGGTGACTCTTCGCCTTGTGAATCTAGAGCTTCCTGTTTTGATGTATCATTCGAGGCTTTCCCTCTACCACGTTTTTTCTTCACTTCCGGAGCATCTTGCTACATTGTTATACGTATTCATTATATGTAATTGTACTCATATACTTATAAAAGTGTAAGGAACAATCGCACAAACTATTTAAGCTTTAAAAATGTTTGTCGGCAGTTCCTAAGTTTCTCTTGGAGTATATTAATACTATGACTGTAGTTTTCTTGTACAGTAAAGTACATTAAATACTCCAAAATAGTTTTTGTACAAATAGAAAAAATGAATATCGCTTACAGGAGTATTGGGAGTAGATGGGAGAGTTTTCCTCTTTATCGGTTTCTTTTTTTCTCCTTCATCTATTACTAAGGAACCAGTTTCTATATCACTATCTGTAGCACTTGCAGTTGGTAATTCTGTTGTATCAGCAGCTTTAGACAAAGTATTATGTGTGACAAATATATATCACTTTTGATCAAAATGATTTTATTTAATTTACTCAGATTTAATTTATCCAATAAAAAAATTACTTATTACAAAATATTATTATCAAAACAACATTAATAATTACCTTTAATAGCGGCAATATCTGCTAAAGGCTTATTTCTGTCATTTTTAAGTTCTTGTTCAAGTTGCTGTATGCCTTCATGGAAGAACTTTCGTCGATTAGGTTTACCATATTTTTCTTTATTTTCATTATAGGTATATAACTCGTCAACTTTGCAGACAGCTCTGCAAAATTCAATATCACAATAATATTCAATATATAAATTCTTTAACGAAATTTCTTTAAAAAAGAAAGAATTACTCACGTTTCACCTGTACCATAGAAGTAGACGCTGTATTTAGCATTCTTAGAATTTGGATCGTTAACTTTTTCAATCTGCAAACAAATGAAGAAACATGCAAACAAATGAAGCAACACACGAGAAGTTTTTGCATGACTAACAAAGTCGGGATGTGAGATGTTTATATTCAATTACGAATGCATTAATGATCCATATTACTACACATATACAATCTCAAAGATTATATATACATAATTATGTGAAAAAATTACACAATATTCGAATGAAAAATGTGACTAGCAACGTGAATTAATTAGCACAGGTGGGCGATGTATCGCCTAATGGATTATCAATTATGCGTGTTCTGCGTGGATCCCGCGCTTTTCTCGCTGCTACACGAGAAACGCGGCCTCGGAAAGGCAGCTACGCGCAACTAAACATAAACGAGGGCCGCAATCTTTGCATAATTTACATCGTTTCACTTCGTGACGTCCTAATCGGTCGTTCGCGGGGAACGACGCAGTGAGCCCGCATGCGACATGTCGGCCGCTGGGCCGCTTGTTTCGGCGAGGAAGCATCGCGTCCCGAGACACGAACTTACCTTGGCTGGCCATGGCGGGTAACCTCGAACTTTTGCGAACACCTTGTCACCGGCGAAGAATCTTTTCAACAGCTTCACCATGATCATCAAGAACCGCTATCGTGTCACAGTCTCACTCTGTCGTACGCTCTATCGTCAAACGCTGCGCTAACGGTGTGGCGTAATTAATCTCGAAGACACATCGCACAAAACACCGCGACCACCGCCATTTGCACGACAAATACCGAAAACACGCAACACGACGCGACGCTCAGCTCCGATTGGTCGCGGTCCCAACGAGTGGCATGTCTACCCGCGCAAAGTCGAGCGAGTTAATTGATCGGACGGCCGGACACGCGTCGTCAATTGGCCAATCAAATGCATTCTTTATCGGAGCTTATTGCGACAAGCAACCAGAGACAAACCTGAAAGCAACTATCTTTTTCGTCGGACTGACAAAGCCTCCCGCACACTACCGCTGATAAATCCGCTTTTGAATTTGGAAACTGCTTATCTATATAACAGCCATTTTCTGACACCGATAAAATTGCATTTTGATATGTGTCTGTGTTGCATCCATAATTCATGGACGATATCAAGAATATATTTATATAATTGTATACCTACGCATAATTTTCTTTTGTAGATTAAAATATGAACTTTAATAATACATTAATCAATATGTTTATATTTATATGTATACATACATGTGACGTGTTTGCAGAAAGAGATTTTCGAAATTTTTAGTAATGATATCAATAAATAAATGATATCAATAGTAAATAATAATATTAAAATAAAATGTTATATTCTTTTTATTTCTATCAATGTAGATTAAATTTAATCTTAACTTATTTTCTATCTTCCTTCAGTTCTAATAATTAAAAACAGATAAAAAATAATGTCTTTATTTAATATTTATAGATTTAATCTAGGTTTCCTCATTTTTATCTTTTTTTTTAATTCCAAGATTAGAAAAAAGTAAAGAGTAAATTGAAGAATAGAACAAGATTAATCTATATCATTAGAAATCAAACATCAGAATGGGTTATCACAAAAAACATTAAACGAAAAATGCACACGATTGGATAGCTAATCGTGACGTTGCGTCTGTGTGTGATGTGTGTGGAATATGATGTGTGTGATAGGTGGGACGTGAGTGTGTGTGGTGTGTGTGTGATTCTTGCCGGAAAGCTGCCGATAAAAGAAGTTGCGCCGTCGCCGATGCGTTTGCGAACGCGCGATCAGGACGCGACTCAATGGACACGGGCCTTCTGTCAAATATACGACTATTCGCGCGACGCTTACTCCGAATGTGCTCGACGGTGTTTTAAAGAGATGGTGCGATGTCGTATCAAACCACGATAACGCGCGCGGACAATATTGAACTTCTACGAGGATCGCCGAGCAGAACGTAAGTGCGTGCAGACTCTGTTAACGTGATGTACATCGCGCGCTCGTACGTGCTTCTTTCCCTTTTTCCCCGATTTTCACTGATTTTCCGCGGAATTTGCGTGGAATGTCTCGATCTGTTATGTTGCACAACATCTGACGTGCTTTAGCTTCTCGTTAAAAGCGCCGTGCCATTGTCAGTACCCCGCGATCATCTCCCGGCCGTTCGATATCGCATCCGCTTGGTCGCCTAAGGAACTCTGATTAATCAGTTATGTCTCAGACGAGATCTCGCATTATTGTCCGGTCCTCAGATTTGCATCAGATGCCACGACGTAGCTCGAACATCCGTGAGAATCGTCGCGTGTAATTACGGAAATTAAATTTGCAAAAATGATAGTGTATCGCAAAAAAGATATTGTTTATTAGATATTTGTATTGTACTCATTGAAAAAATAAATTAGTTTTGCGTAATATATTTAATGTAAATTATAAAGTACTTTACAAATGGATCAATATTCGAAATATAGAGAAAATATGTTTTAAGTCATATTCAGGCTTCGTCAGATCAGAGTTGTACATTTTCATTGTCTTTAGAGATCATAAAGATATAAAATTTCTTATGTAATTCTCCTATGTTATATAAAAGAGCAAAAACAAATGCAAGGAAACATTATAAAGTATAATTTTTTTAATTTAATTTTTTCAATTCATTCATTTTTTTTCTTGCATTTTTTTTATATATGACAAGCAGATGAACTCAGAATCTCAATGGCAGTGTTGTATATTACTGTGATGAAAGATGCCAATTCTTAAGGAGCTCTGCTTCTGTTGAAGTGGTTCTGGTTCAAGAGGTCTGCTAAAGCACAATGAGAGCCATTGTATCAATCGCGCTGATCACACTGCTGTGTGGCATAAGTTTAGCCCCCATTAATGCCATTAGGAAATGTGCCAGTAGAAAGAAAAATGTTGAAAATCTTTCTTTGAAGAATTTAGCAGATGTACCTGAAGATACATCCGATGATCATAATGTAAGTCATTTAAGAGTAAATTATTATGAGTTAGCCTATTTTTTTAGCAAAATTACAATTATTCTAAAGTATATAGCTAAAGATTATTTAACAGATAAAAGAGCTCTTATTTTAATTATAAATAATATAATATTATACATTCATTAGAAAAAAAATATTTAAAACAAAATATATATTTGAAAATATATTTTACAGATAAATGAAGATGTCAAATTTGAGATATGTAATAATTTTTGTCATGCCTTATGGAAAGAAGATAAAACTGCAAATGGTACTGAAATCATTATTTTGTCTCAAGGTATTATATAAGATTAATTTATTATATACAGATATTTATTCATAAGTGCCGTATAATTAAATTATTCTTTGATGGATTAGGTTGTTGGAAACAATCTGGTGAACAAAAATGTGAAAATACAGAATGTGTTGCACTCCAGAGATCTACAAAAGCTTTGAACAATACAAAATTTTGTTGCTGTCATGGTGATTTTTGTAATCTCAATATTACAAGTTCCAATCTTGCTGATTTGGATAAAATATCAAATTCTCTTTCTCCACAAAAAAGTCAGCCAAGTAAGATTAATAGCAGCATTAATAACAGTTACAATTAATTAGTATATATCAAAATAAATTATGTTTCTAATTAAAGTTGAAAAATAATACATTATAACACTATTACTGTTACAATTTCCTTTTTGATAACAAATTGATAATGGTGTTTTTTTGTAATAATTGTAACAGTAACATAATTATATTTCTTGAGTATAGTAATGAATTTGACAATAACTTTTTATATTTTGAACCTATTTATGATATAATTTTCATATATGCAATGGTCAGTCTAACCGAGTCATAAAATGATATTTAGTGAGTTTAGTGAGTTTTTATTACAAGATCTTAATGTTTTAAGATGTTAATATAGCTCTACGATTGGTTTACGACATCTTAAGATTGACTTAAGATAGTCTTAAATATGAGAATTGACTATGAATACTGGTCATAGTCCGTTGTTATATTTAAGACCGTTTTAAAAATAGTTTATCATAAATCAACTACAGAGCTGTATTAGCATAAAAACAGACTTTATAATATCAGCTTTTAAAAATTTCTAAATATAAAATTGAGAATAGAAAAGAAGAGGAAATTTGACTATATTTATAAATTTAAATCACAATGAATGCAAAACTTTTTAATTTGTATTTTGAATATTTTAAGATCTTCTTAAATTTTTTTGTTGTCTTGTTTTTTTAAAATAAAAGATTTTATTATTTTTATATATAATATAATAATAATTTAACAAAAAATGAACAATTAGAAAAGAAAATTTTTCATTTGATCCGATCTCGTTTTTATTATTAAAAAAAAATAATGGAAAAAGTAATGAATTATTCCTTTTTAAATAATGATAATGAGTTATTTTTTAGAATCAGTAACTAATTATTTTTTTACTTTTGTGATAATGAGTAATAATAATGGATTATTTTGAAAAAATAATTGTTCAACCATATTTTAACTAAATATTTTATAGCAAGAAATAATGAAACCATTTTTTTATATATTTATAATATTTTCCAGCTACAGAATATCTTGAACAGTCAAACTCTGAACGATGGATGCTTATTATAGTAATTGTCATAGCATGTACATTGCTAGTAATATGTACCATAGCGATGATTATATACAGAACGTATCATAATAATATTTTAATAAGATTAGGAAAGCCATTATCTTATAATGACCAATTTATGGATAGCACAGCATTAAGAACTGGTACTTACACAGTCGATCATTTGAAACTCGCCAATATTGTAGGTGTGTTCTTATTAATTGTATTCTTCAAAATTAATTAGGATCTTATTCATTTAATATTGCAATTTCTCAATTTAGTTTTTATTATAATCATATTGCACACTGCAGGTCAAGGTCGATATGGATCAGTTTGGCAGGGCAGTATGGGAGATCAAGATGTTGCAGTTAAAATATATCCATCACACTATCGCAATTATTTTCAGAATGAAAGAGATACTTACTGTTTACCTTTTATGGAGCATCCATCATTATTAAGCTACTATGGTTAGCATTGATTTTTATCAAATTATAAGTAATGAAAGCAATGATAATAAAAACATTTTCTTTTTAATATCTGGATACTTAAACATCAGATTATTTAAAATTTATATCTTGTTTTAGGTGTAGATGAAAGAATAAGCATGGAAGGTAGTGTTGAATATCTTTTAGTACTCAGTTTTGCTCCCGGTGGTAGTTTAATAGAATTCTTACGAACGCATACTATTGATTGGATTACTTTTTGCAAAATGAGTCTTTCTATAGTTAAGGGACTTGCTTATTTGCATACGGATATACGCAAAGGTGGTAAGTATTGCATTATATTTACTTGGAAAATATAAAAATATTTAAAACATCTTTAATTATTTATTAATTGTTATTATCTAAAATTATTATTAAATTATTATTAAATTTTATATCTAATAACACATTCTAATATTAATATTTATATTAATATTTATTTTTAGACAAGTTTAAACCCTGCATTGCACATAGGGATATAAATTCGAGGAATATATTAATTAAAGCTGATGGTACTTGTTGTATTTGTGACATGGGATTAGCAGTTCAAATCTCTGGATCTAAGTATTACTCTAATGGAGAAGAGCAACATGCTGAATTAAAATCAATTAATGATGTGAGTATCTAAAAAATCTAAGAAAAAAATCTAAAAAAAAAATTGTATCTCCTGACATTAAAAAAATAAATCAAAATCTATTGCATTAGGTTGGTACTCTGAGATACATGGCACCAGAGGTATTGGATGGTGCTGTTAATTTACGAGATTGTGAAAGTTCTTTAAAGCAGATAGATGTTTATGCAATGGGTTTGGTTCTTTGGGAATTGGTTACAAGATGTTCTGACATTTATATTCCTGGATCGGATGTGCCGCCATATAAACAGCCATATGAAAGTGAAATAGGTTTGTACATGAACATATTTTTTAAAATCGCAATATCCCTATGCTATTCTGTTAAATATTATATTTTTATAAAATTTATATAAATATTTTTCTATTCTTTTAGGTCTTCATCCAACGTTTGAACAGATGCAAGTTTTAGTATCACGTAATAAAGCCAGACCACTTTTAGAAGGTAACTTAGTAGATAGACCAGGAGTGCGTTTGATTAAGGAAACTATAGAAGATTGCTGGGACGCCGATGCTGAAGCTCGTTTAACTGCTTTGTGTACAGAAGAACGACTTTCAGAACTGCAGTCTCATCGTGGTAATGCATTTATCAATATTTAACAATCTGTATGATTATTACAATTTTTTTAATGAAAGAACATTGTAGTAACAATGCATTTTACCGATGGAAGTCCAATGGTGAATTCTCATTGCACCTTAGTGCCTTCAACGACAAACAGTCTTTATAGTGAATCCTCACATCATGATAATGTACATGTTGTTCAACTTGCGTTGAATTTGGTGCAAGATAATAATACTAATGACAGTGCAATAGCTGAAAATTTAGTTACATTATCACCATCTGACAGCATTGCTCACGAACACAGTTGTAAGTGATTCACATATGAATATATAAATATATGTTATTGTATGTAATTCATATATAAATATATGTTATATATTTTACAATATTTCTATAATTTCATTTTTCAATCATTTTTAACAGTCAGCTTGTGTTTCAGTCAAAAATTCAAACGAAGTAGCGACATATAATCATACTCAAACGCTTCAGCCATATCAAGGCAGAAATCCATGTATGGAAAGAAATTTAATGTTACAATCGGATTCGTTGGAAGACTTGGGTTGTAACGGTAATGTTCTCGTTGACAAATCACTAAAACATGCGTGTAATGAACAATATAAAACTGGTACAGAAGCACAAGGTTTGGTTTCGCACGATTACTTAAGTCAACACACTACTCAATTAACGCAACTTCGGCCGGCAACGCCGATACCATATGTTCAAAATGTCATTTCTGATGAAGGATCATCTTCCTACAATAGGAGAAAACAGACCAATATACAGGACACATCTCTTCAAGAAAGTCCGCGGAAAAAATTATTTGCCTGGCCCAATTTAAAAAAATTGCTCATTAACAAGAAAATGTATCCGTATAGCAGATACCAAATAGATAGAGAAGATTCTAAGTCAAATTTATTATCAAAACAAAATGTTCAGATTAAAACTGTTGAAACAAACGTAACAATCTCGCCTGGAGGAAAATATGTAAATGGTATCATTGGTAAAACTTCTACTTCGGCAAGTATGCCAGTAGAGAAGAATGACAAAAATACCGCACAAACGGGGAAGCAAAAACAGTGTGACAGTGATAACACGCCATCCAATGCGCGTCCTTCCACTTTACCGCTTGTAAATTTAAGAAACAAGAAGCGAGAAAATAATTTAAGTCGACAGGAAAGCATAGATAAGTTTAATGAAGTTTTTAATGTGGGTTCGAATGTAAACAATGTACTGAAGGATCCACATATGAGAATAAAAACACCTGGTGATTTACCGCCGTCTGTTAGGAAAATTCGCGGTCGTGCGCAATCAACGGCACGATTTTCGCTTTATGATGATCGTATGATGTGCAATATCCTGAATGAAGAGGATGATCAAAGTGACAAAGCCATTTGGAATTCTGTGCCATTTGGTATGGATCTCGGTGATAGTGATGGAAAACACTCACCAACGAAACTTGGTACCAAAAATGTTACGTGCTTTTAATCAGATATAATATTAATGTATTTGTAAAGTCTTTTTGTCTATAATATAGTCAGAAAAGAAGAATGCTGCAAAGTACCTTCAGCTTCGATTTGTGTACAGAATTTGTGTATAAGAATTAAGTAAGATTTTATACTCGATGCAAACTACATTAATTATATATAGACACATTAAATAATGAAATTAAAAAGAAAACTTAGGAATATATTCACACAGAAACTCGTAACTATTCAATTGATTTGTCATGTTATATTGATAACATACTTTGCGCGTAATGAATGCTTTTGATGTAGATGATTGAGTATGACAAGTGCACATAACAATTATAGATAGAAAATAAAAAATCAAATTGATATAATCTATGCGTTGAGAATAATAAAAAAGGATTTTATTTATCATTTTATTTACCAAAATTGCTTTCATATGTATGATATTTGTGCATTATCTTCTTTATAGTATAAATGTTCTTTTTAATCGATTTTAATCTAGAATTAACGAATTCAGTGTAATCGGTAAACATGGACAATCAATGTTAACGTTTACATCACATTATAAGATATTGTTAATATCTCGATGTGTAATTGTCTTTTACTTTTTTCACAGCATTTAAAAGACATAATCTCTGTGTAATGTAAAACATCTCTTAATGTCAATATTTATAAAATATTCTCCATTTGATATTAGTAATTCAAAGACTTATGAAATTATGAACGAAAGTAATGTAAAGATAATTCATTTATATTCTGATTTTGCATGCTTCATGAGAAAAGCCTGTATTTTACTTCTATATAAAGTATAATTTAAGTTCTGAAATGTGCAACAAGTTTGTTCATTAATATGCAACGATATTTATCAGATATATGAATCTATAATTAATGCAAAGCCATGAATATTAATATAGGTGATTGTAATTATAAAGTAGAAATAGTAAAAAGATATATTTGAGCACAAAGTATATTGTATCGGATTATATGAAAATTATTTTTCCTCTGATCCTGTGACGCTCATTGTAAATATTTGTAGTATAAAAAAGGGATTATTCAGATGCGTTAAATGTACTTGTTACGTTATGTTATGTTGAAGATATCGTAAAGTCTTATGTTATATATTTTGCGATACTTTATTGTACGACATGTTTATTGACAAAATTAAGATAAATATGATTATGCAAATCCGTAATAAAATATATCTTCTGTCAACAATTTTTATTCTTTTGTTTATGATTGTAACTGAACATCTATAAAGGAAATGTTTAATAAGATAGATTAGAACATATTTTTGCGTAGATATTTTAGCCTTAGAAATAAAATATTCTCTTCATATTTATAAAATTATAAACTTTTTATATTCAATAATTCTGTTATAAATATTTTTGATTATTAATGTATATATATATTAAATATCGATAAATTTATTATATCCCTAGTTTTTTATAAAAAATAATTTTGAATCAATTTTATTTTTTATTAAATCTATGTATTTCTTAACATTTAGTTATATTTGAAAATAATGTTATACATATAAAATTATAAATTATAATTTCTGCAATTTTCAATTAATGTTATTAATGATATAATAATTCGTCTCTAATATAATCTTAAATCACATATATTAGATTATTAATAATTTATATAATAAATACTTTTTATTTAATTAAATATACATTTAATTTAATTAAATCAAATATACATTTTGGCGTATTACGTCATTGAAACTTCACGCTTCGAGTAACGTAACGTGGTTAGCACGGAGGACGCCGTGAGTTCTTCGCGTAGGATTGTAAAATTTTATATAAAAAAGTTATATTTGTTAAAGAAGTACTTGATATTAAAACAAATTAATAATCATGACTATCACAACCATTCTAAGTCGCAATGTCACTTTGAATCAGCTATCGAAAATGTGGCCGTGTATTTACGGAGTAAGATTCCTAACCTTTATCAAGTTTTTAGGTTATAAGTTTCGATTGCTTTTGCATAATTATTAACGCAAAAATGTCAGTATTATTTACTATATCGCGTAATTTTTTTAGCAAAATGTGCGATTTTTTGCGTCACACTTGAAATTCGCTGAGCACAAACCGTTGGAGAAGGTTAGGAACATTGGTATATCGGCTCACATCGACTCCGGGAAAACTACTTTGACCGAACGTATTCTGTATTACACCGGCAGAATATCCGAGATGCATGAGGTAAGTTTAAAATTTAATCGCGTATGTAGATAAATTATAATGGATAGAATTCTCTAATATTTCTTTAAACCAGGTAATATTCATATATGTATGTATATTTCTTTCTGTTGTCAGGTAAGAGGAAAAGATAACGTAGGTGCTACTATGGATAGTATGGAATTGGAAAGGCAAAGAGGGATCACTATCCAGTCTGCTGCCACATATACATTATGGAAAGATCATAATATCAATATCATTGATACACCAGGACATGTAGACTTTACAGTAGAAGTTGAAAGAGCTCTACGTGTCTTAGATGGTGCTATTCTTGTTCTCTGCGCCGTGGGTGGCGTCCAGTCACAGACTTTGACTGTGAATCGGCAGATGAAGAGATATGATGTACCTTGTTTAGCATTTATCAATAAGCTAGATAGAATGGGTGCAAAACCATATAGAGTATTGCAACAAATGAGGAGCAAATTGCATCATAATGCTGCATTCATACAGCTACCAATTGGCCTGGAAAGCAATACAAAGGGTATAGTCGATCTAGTTATGCAAAAAGCAATTTACTTTGAAGGAAATTTTGGAGAAATTGTTAGGGAAGATGAAATCCCAAAAGACATGAATACAGGTATTTACAGAAATTAAGTTCTAATATCATATTGACATATTTGCATTCTTAAATTTTTAATTTATAAACTTATTGAATTTATCTTACATTGATTAGAGGTAAATGAAAGAAGGCAAGAGTTAATCGAGCACTTAAGTAATGTGGATGACACATTTGGCGAACTATATTTGAATGATTCAAAAATAACCGAGAAAAATATTATGGATGCTATACGCCGGAGTTGCTTACAAAGAAAGTTTACACCTGTGCTAGTTGGTACTGCATTAAAGAATAAAGGCGTTCAGCCATTATTGGATGCAGTGATAAACTACTTACCAAATCCAGGAGAAGTAAAGAATTATGCTCTTCAAGAAAAATCTGAGTAAAGTTTTTTTGTATATTAATATGATGATTTATTTGATTTCATATATACCTGATATTACCTGATGACTTAAAAACAAATTTTATTTTATTTTAGCGGCGAACATATTAAGATTTTATTAGATTCTAATCGTGATGATAAGAAACCTTTCGTTGGATTGGCATTCAAGTTAGAAGCTGGTAGATTTGGTCAACTAACATATTTCCGTTCATATCAAGGAATGTTAAGAAAATCAGACTATGTATATAACACAAGAACGCGGAAAAAGGTAATTGTTTGTACATATATACATATAATATCTATTTTCTTTTTACAACTTGTCAATAAAACAATTTTTAAAGATATATAATTAAACTTCAGGTACGAATTCAAAGATTAGTACGACTTCATGCAAATCAAATGGAAGATGTAACAGAAGTTTATGCGGGAGATATTTTTGCTCTATTTGGTATCGACTGTGCGTCCGGTGATACTTTTGTTAGAGATCCTAAATTGGAATTGTCAATGGAGTCAATTTACGTTCCCGATCCTGTGGTGTCTATGTCCGTACAACCAAAGCACTCGAAAGATCGAGATAATTTTGCAAAGGGTATCGGCCGATTTACTAAGGAAGACCCAACTTTGCGTTTTTATTATGATTCAGATAACAAGGTAATATTTTCTATCATTTTTAGCAAATATTTTTGAGATTTATGTTTCTTAATTTTCTTTTTTCAGGAAAGCATAGTTTCTGGTATGGGTGAATTACATTTGGAAATTTATGCACAAAGATTAGAACGCGAATATAATTGTCCGATCATTCTCGGAAAGCCGAAAGTTTCTTTTCGCGAGACTTTATGTCAGCCTTGCGAATTTGATTATCTTCATAAAAAGCAATCTGGTGGTGCTGGTCAATTTGCTCGCGTGATTGGAATTATGGAGGTATAATATAAGCATTTTTAATTATATTTGACAACATTATATATCCCATTTTGATATCTATTATTTCTTAATATTTTCTCTAAAAAGAATCTCTTTTTAGCCTCTGCCACCTCATAAAAATACAAATATCGAATTTTCGGATGAAACTGTAGGAACCAATGTCCCGAAACAATACATTCCGGGTGTAGAGAAAGGTTTCAGAACAATGTGTGAAAAAGGTTTGCTCAGCGGTCACAAAATCGCTGGTGTTAAGTTTAGGTTAATCGATGGTATGCATCATTGCGTCGATTCTTCGGAATTTGCTTTCTTCCAAGCCGCGCAAGGTGCTGTTAGAGACGTGTTTGAAATGGGTAATTGGCGAATTTTAGAGCCGATTATGTTGGTTGAAGTAGTAGGTCCGCAAGAATTTCAGGTACAATAACATTGCTTATATAGTTCATTTCACATTTATATAATCTGTCTCTTTCTATTCGACAATTTTTCCATATGTCTGCTATTTTGTATAGGGTACGATATTAGGACAACTCACCAAGAGAAAAGGAATCATAAATTCAACGGAAGTGATAGATGATTGGTTTACAGTCGTTGCAGAAGTGCCACTTAATGATATGTTTGGTTACGCTAGCGAATTGAGGTCCAGCACACAAGGTAAAGGAGAATTTACCATGGAATATGCAAGATACAGTCCTTGCTTACCGGAAATACAAGAACAACTTATTAGACAGTATCAAGAATCAGAAGGCATAATAGTCGAGAAATCTCAGAAATCTAAGAATTAACTTGTACAGGATTATAGACGAAGATAAATATTTCTTGCTTTTTAGTGAAATTGCGTAATATTATTATTAACGCTAAAGTATCATAATAATATACGCTTTATTTATACTTGACACTCTTGACGTACTTGATATTCCTGATATAAACTGATTGATAATAGTAATTAATATTAATATTAAATTAATGATTGCCCAAAATTCGTATGTTTAACAAACATGTACAAATGTATCGAACGTGTTGTAAATATTAGTCCTCGAAAATATGTGATATAAAATAAACATGTAGAAAGTCATTTCTACTTATAGACATATGGTTAAAATACATTTTATTTTTTATTATATACCCTCAAGTAATATTTATTTCTTTAATATCACACATATATCGTAAAATTTTCCTACTTAATTACATAATGAAACAAATTTTAAATTTATTTAGCTACATTTTATATAATTATATTTTATTTTTTTACAATATTTCGTTTATTTTGCTAATGCAATAGATAGCGAAAGATTACAAATTTATTAAAACTAATATCGAATTACGCGATGCAGAAGATAAGAAATTAAAATACGACCAATAGAGACCAATAGAGACAAATTGAACTAAGACCGACGTTATTTAATTGATGAAAGTTTAAAGGATTTTCAATTTTCGGAAGAAGACTGATACAGGCTTCAGGTCTTGCGCATAATGAAAAAACAGGAATAGGAATTGGAGACAGAATAAATACTAAATTTTGGAAATAAAAATTAGGAATAAAGATTAAATGTAAGGTAAAATAGACACAAGTAAGCATAAGACATAGCTATATCTTACACTTATTTATATCCATTTTGCGTCACGTTTAATTTCTATTCTTAATTTTTATATCCAAATTTAATATTTAATCGTGTTCCTAATTTCTCTTCCCTTTGCTCCATTGTGCGCAAGGGTCTAAGAATGGCCGAGTGCCGCCTTGGTCGTCATGGCGACGGCGCCTCGCCCGTTCAGATGTCGCGGCGATCGCGCGCAGAACGCGACGCCGAGCGTTCGAGTGGTGTCGAATCGGCGCGATCAGTAGCGGCACTGACGTTCGGGAGAGTGGTTTACGCGCGTCATACCCGTGTTGTATCCACTGTCGCGTTTCCGTAGCACGAGCGGATCGGAGCGCACGTCGCTCGCGCGGGTGCTAAAGCCAAGGGTGGCCAGCGCGCCGCTTCCTCCTCCTCCACCGGTCGCGGACGGCGATCGCGGTCGCCGCGCATCGCCGGGGCTGTTGCGTGCGGTCGCGCCGCGTGTGCTCCGTGCCCGAAAAATGTAATATGGCGATGGTTGCGTCGAACATGAGCGGCCACATACAGAAGCAGCTCACCAGGAGCCTCGAGCGGATCCTGGAGGAGGCGCACCTGAGCGGCGAGCTCAAGCTGAGCGGCCGCAAGCTCAAGGACTTCCCGAAAGTCGGAAAGGTCGGCGCGGTCAAGTATAATCTGCAGGACACGGTGATCGCCGGTGAGTCCTCCTGTAAGACCTACCCCATATTTCCGGAGTCCTTTTTTTCCCCCTTTTTTTCCCCCCCTTTCTCTTATTTATTTTTCTTTTCGAATTTAAAGCGGCCGCTCGAAATACGAGAGGTTGGAGTCATTCAACGAACTCTATTCGTTATTTCTCATGGAATTTTGTTTGTCGCGTTTGTTTGCCTTATGTCACAAGAAACACGCGTGTGGCAGCGCGCGACGAACTGACGCGTTCGTACCTCTTCCGTGTTGATGCACGCGCATCGTAGCTCCGATATTCTCTGCGGGCGCATGAACGCTCCTTGGCGTGTCATACTGAAAGCAGAGACGGACCTTCCAAATTCTGCGTTCTTGTTATTTTTAAAAATGCAAATCTATGCGCAATAACAGTATAAATATTTTAGAAAAATACTGATACACATTTTTATTATTTACAATAATACAATATTTATACATGTACACAACCTCAAGGCTGTTAACTCGATGAATTTGGAGCAGTGTTATTTGCAAATGAAAATCGGCTTCGTGAATAATTTTTTTGTGATTTGCAAATTATCATCTTATTTATAATCATATTCTCTGACGGGGGAATTTCCAAATATCAAGTTTTTAAGTTTACATATGATTAGTAATAAGATATACATTAAGTTAGTCAATTATTATCTTATCGTAAATAAATAAAATTTAAAGATTGAACATTAAGGTCTGAGAAATATTGAATAAATATTTCTCTATCTCGAATTTTTATTCATAATTACGCTTTTTAACAGAGGAATTCCCAAATATTGAGCTTTTAAGTTTACATATGATTAATGACATACACAAATTAGTTAATTATCATCTTATCATAAACAAACAAAATTTAAAGATTGGACATTAAAATCCAAGGAATAGATTGTAGAAAAATTTTTATTTCAAGCAATGCCCAAATGTTCAAAAATTGTTTTAGAAAGTTTCTTATAATTAATTCGCACGTTAAAAACTTTTATGCAATTCACTTGACATTAACTAATATACCTTTATCAGAGTCCCGATAGAAATATTTTTTAAATTCACAGGCATTTGTTGCAACAGAAAATATAATTATAATTAGATGAATAAAGGGAAGTTATTTCTTGTTATTAGCGAATACACGTTGCATCGGAACGCTATTAAACTCCTTTGTATCATTCAATGAGCGGATACATAGTACCGTTTGTGCCAAGTGCAATGACCAAAGAAACCTTTAAGCATTACCTAACGCACGTGCACCTGCTAAGTTCGACATCTGGCGTGCATTACTCACCGGTAATTGCAACCGATTGCAGGACTTCGTAGCAAACATAAGACTGGCAGATTTATTAAACATTCCGCTAAGCGCGTTCGGACGGCAGTTTGAAAACACATTAACGAATTAGATTTGCATTTTCATCGCGTGGTACTTACGACGTTCTCGATATCGATTCTCCGATTCTCTATTTCGTTTTTTACATCAACGCGAAATATAACTTGAAATATCAGATGTCCGTTGTATTTTAATTTTTGTTCCGCAAATGGAATTAAATCTGAACTGTTAGCCAATTGTTAGTAAACATTTTAAGTCAACAAATAAATAAACATTATGATTATATAACAATTAATAAAATTAATATATGATATATATTATTAATTAATATTTTAATTATAGCTGTATAATATTATTAATAACATATCGATAACATATAATAATATAACAATTTATAAAATCAACTTGCCATTATTATTATTATAATATGTATACGTGATAAAACGGTAAATATAATGTAAGTATATAAATATATAGTATCATAATAGCCGAGAGTTAAAATATGTTAGAAGAAATAAATCCCGTAGCTCAGTTTATCTCACTCGGAATAATCACGTTACAAGCTTTAAAATTCTTTTTTGACTGTGCTATTTATTCTCTTGCGTATTTCCTCCTTCTTGACTTCAAATATCAAAAACATCCATACAATTCAAGCCACAAACTGAAGACAGTACTTGCTGTAAAGTTATTATTAATTCTTTGTATACTGAATAGCAGCCAAAGAGAATATTAGAAATTACAAACCTGTAGCCCAACTTTACATAGAATCCACTGGACCCTAACATATCATTATCATACATACAATACCTTCTATAGAGCGAACATGTCAAATGAGCGTAACAAACCAGAAATGTAAATTCGTGGAAAGTTCATACAGGAAAGTTATACATAGATAACGCACATAACATGTTCTTTTCCTCCATTGAGACGAGATAACAAGTAATATTACACACGCCTCATAGTAACAAGATACAATTATCACTTTCACTGATTTTAAATAACATAATACTATAATGTTTCGTTCGCTCGAATTTATTTATTAATTTTGATGTTTAAACTTAATTTAACGTAACAAAAATATTAAACATTTGATACCTGCGATTTTAACATTTTCAGCCTTCGTAATTCTTTTCTCCCATCTCGTGTCACTTTCTCCAATCGTAAAAACGCGAAATTTTCGAGATGGACAAAACGATGAGAAATGAGGAAAAAAAAAATCAAGCGCCAAAGTTATGCATCCGTGGGGAGGGGGGGGCTTATTTCTGTCGCGCCGCATAAACGCCACCGTTGCACGACCGTGCAATCCGTGTTCGTAACTCTTTCGCGTCGCGCACAAAAGACTTTCCGCGTTATAATTTTCGCGCCCGATAGATCGACGTCCTGCTTCTCCTTTTATCACCCGGGGGTTCGGCCTGAATGTAAAACGCGGCGTGCCGAGTCGACCGCAGGACTAACTCTATATCGACGGCGCGCCCAGCATTTCCTGTTGCCGCAATAAATATACGTCTGACAGCCGATAGTTCCACGAGTTAACGCGAATTACGTCTGCGCGTTACATTAAGAGCTCGCGTCGACTTATCGGTGCGTCGCTGTCACTTTGACAGGAGCGTTGAAACTTGCCAAGTATCGATGTTTCGCTGCGTCTTATTATCGCGCTCAACTTTTCCATGAAATGAAATTATTATCCGCGATGTTATTTCAGACGTTATTTCGTCGCGTCTGCAGCTCTTTGGAGGTACGAAACATGACGAATGATCCAAACGATGGAGAAGAAAGAAAATTAAGAAAATTTTGTCGAGATAGCAATTTCATTGAGACTCGTGTACACGTCTTAATAGGCCGTAATTCACGTGTGTACAGGATTTTGCAAGATTAATGGGTGTATCGGACGGTGATCTGAATCGACACGTTGCAATATTGAAGGTAATAAATTGCAGGTTACTTTCCGGCGCCGGGAAAGAAACTAGCCGGTTTTAATTCGCGGTCGGTAAATTCCACATGTGGAATTCATGTGATTATACGTCTGTTAGAGATTTTACATTGATGATTCATAATTCTTAAGCAGAACGCAGGATATTCGCGGTCTGGTTTCGCCGACGCGGTGCCGGCTTTATGCACTCACACTTCTTTTTCTTGCATGTTACACTTACACGGTACCTCCTCATCCGACATAGCGCTTAACGACGTGTCGGAGAATGCGAGATAACATTATGCGTGAGATTTTTTTCAGTCGCTTATCTGCAAGTCTCAATTATGGCAGCATATAGTGGACTATATGCCGGCGATAATGATGATCTTACTTTCGTGTTCGAACCCAGAGTTTTTCCCGCTACAGCAAGCCCGCAAACACAGTGCCCCATATTTTCATCGCGTAGTTGTTGTAATTAATACTAAACGTGACTAGACGAGTGATAATCAACGGCAAGAGCTCGCATTATTTAGCGCACTGACACCCAGAGAAAGTGAAGACACTTTCTTACTGATTTCTTATCCACCGCTTTC